TTTTAATGTGATCATTAAGTTTGACTAGATCATAATCATTGATATGGTTAAACAAATGGTGTAGATCTATTCTTATTTCTTTCACTATCTCTCTTTCTCATATGATCCTTTCTTTCTCTCTCTCTCTCTCTCTCTATATATATATATATATATATATATAATTGCTGGCATATAGCATTTAATAAAATCTATTTAATAAAACCTCTAAAATTTTCTCTCCATTTTCGGTTACAAAATTTATCATTATTATTTTTTTACTTCTCACATTAATGGATCCTATTAAGTGTAATCATGTATTTTTCTATTATATTATATAATAGTTATTGCTAATACCATCTAATAATAATTCACAATAAATATAAATTACATAATTTTAAACAATTGTTTCAAGTTATTTATATTAACATCAATATTATTTTTTCTTTTGTATCTCATGGAAAAATTTCTTTAAAAACAATTAGTAAATTATTTTAATAGTATAGTCAACTTTAGAATCTTATAAACAATTATTTTTTAATAATAATAATAATAATCAAACTGTTATTATCTAATCATAATAAATAATTGTTCATAATAATAAAATCATTAATTTATATTTTCTAATGATCAAATTTTGAAAATGTAATATGTTCATTATCTATAATTTTAATATTAAATTATTGTTGTAATATAGATTGTCAATATGTGACAAGATAGACAAAGAGAGAAAGCAGTAGAAGAGAATAAGAGAGATGAGATACGCCGTAAAGCCATCATCTTATTCATTCACTTGAGCCCTATTTATAAGGGAATACAATATACATGAGTAAAGACCTAATGGACTACTGGCCCATAACTACAAATCCTATATCTAGGTAATGTCCACAAATTAATATTTACAACACTCCCCCTTGGACATTACCGCATCATGTCTATGCCTCGTTAAAAACCTCGCTACAAAACCCTATAGGAAAAAGCAGTCGAGGAAAAGAGTACATAACATATGCAAATTTATGTGTTACACATGCTGCCTCGTTAAAAACCTCACCAAGTAAAACCCAATGGGAAAAAACTTAGTCAAGGAAAAAAGAGTACAGCACCGCCCAACAAGGCCTAATTTTCAGGATTATAATTAACCTTCCGGGCTCAATCTTCGAGATTTATTTATCGCTCCCCCAGAAGAGAAAACCTTTTTAGTTACATTCATAATAGTATGTTGCTCCCCCTCAAGGTAAGAGTTTCTAACATAAAATCGTCATTTGTTGCTCTTCTGGAGTTAATATAGATTCAAAAATATCATCAAATGTATTTCTATAATTTATTTGTGTAACACGAACTAAGTTATCTTCAGGATAAATATGGAGAAATTTCAATAACCAATGGTAATGAGTTAATACCATTTGAGATGTATATAACCAATTGAGGACCCATACTTCGGGGATCAATTATACAATTGATGTCCTTATCCACCAATATCATATATTAAGTCCAAAGATAACTCAACATACATGAAGAATAATGGGATATTCTCAAAATTTATCACGATACTCTTTAAGAAGAAATCTAGTAAATCTTGCTAGCAAATTCATCACAAATGTAGTATCAGGCCTGATGCAGTTTGCGAGAAAAGTTTAGCAAAATTGTGCTTAATAAATAAACTTCGTGTCGTTTGTGGACTTCAAGTCCATTGGAACTCCAGGTCCTATAATATCCTCATTAGTTTCTTTGGATCTTTGTCAAATTCTAAATATTTGACACTCATTGGTGTTACAATTTTACATCTCTAAAAGAGATTCAAGTAGATTGGTTGGGTCAAAAATATTTCTTCTAGGAGATGCTCGATCTACAAGTCGAGATAATACTCTTTGGTATTTAACCAAAAGTTTCATTCTTACTCCGTCTATAAGCATGAGCTCACTTTTTTAATCTTTTACATAGTGTTCACCACATAATCTATTTGACCGAGATTATCATTATACACAAGGTTCTACCTTGAATTTCCTACTTTACTTCTTCAGGAAGAATTTAGTT